CCGGACACCGATGAAGCTGCAATGTGGCTGATGTTAATGTTCCCTAGCCGCTGCTGTCATTAAGCAACTTGATCTCTGACCTGGGACCTGGCTAGATAAGATTTTGTTTAACTGCACTTGAGCCTGTTGGCAGATGCCAGGAATCTCATGCTCATAATTTTTAGCCTAGAGTAAGTTTAAGAATATTGGGTGAACAGGGTCTTCCTTGCTTATGGTGCTGATTCTTGCTGGAGTTTGTTTTCATGGATGGCAGTAGTCCTTTATCTAATCTGTTGGGAATACATTTTTAAGGACAAACTTGGAAAACTGGGAAATTCGAAATATTTTCTGGATGGAAAAGGGTGTTACCATGTGACTTCTTGGAAATGAAGGCAACAGTTTAATGTGTGCTGTGGTTGGCCTTTGTGCAAACTTCTAAGGATGCCTAGCCTGAAGAAGTTACCCTCCTCCCTCCGGACAAACCTCAGGGAATCTCTCTCCCACTGCAACTCTCTCGTAATCTCTTATCCATCTTCTATCCGCCTCCCACTCTCTCCCTATTTATTTCAGAACCCCCTTCCCCTCCCCCTTTTCTGATGAAGGGTCTAGGCCCGAAACGTCAGCCTTTCTGCTCCTATGATGCTGCTTGGCCTGCTGTGTTCATCCAGCCCCGCACCTTGTTGTCTCTGTGCATGGAAACCCTTTCTGGTCTTAGAATTCTGTTTTACAGATTCAAACTTCAGAGTAAAGAAAACAATCCAAAACTGTAAGTGTTTCCTGAAATCCTTTTCTCAATAGAAAGCTCTGAAGACTGGTAGAATTACCAAATACCAGTATTTCTGTCCACTGCTAACATCCAAAGAAGGAAACAAGACTCAAATCCAAGTCGACGAGAATCAGAATTGGACATTTCCATCAATCTATGGCTGTCAGCAATTTGGCTTCATAAATATGAAATCCAGTGGACATGAAAAGTCATTACATTTTATCCTTTGTTCCTGATACTTAGCCCTCAGGGATTTTCTTTTCCTTTGCTCTTTTTAAAATGCATTTTCTCTACATCTTTTTGTATTTTTCTTTATTCATTCATGGGATGTGGGTATCACTGGCTGGACCAACGTTTATCACTCATTCCTAAGAATCAAGTGCATTGTGTGGATCTGGAGTCACATGTATACCAGACCAGGTAAGGATGGCAGATTTCCTTACTGAGAGGACATCAGGTGAAACAGATGGGTATTCCCAACAATTGACAATGGTTTCATAGCCATCATTAGATTCTTATTTCTAGATTATTATTGAATTCAAATTCTACCATCTGCCATGGCAAAATTTGAACTTAGGTTCCCAGAACATTGTCTGAGTCTCTGGATTAATAGTCTAGCAATAATACCATGAGGCCATTGCCTACCCCTACATTCCTTGTGTAATGTGTCTAATTGTATACAGTTTTAAGTCAGGATCATAACTTCAGTGTTATTCAGTGTTTGCCACTTTCCTTAAGAGGTTTTGCTCCTGATAAACAGGTTAGTTTCATTTCATTAAGGAAGCTTGGTTTTTTTTTTATTCTGAATAATAGTACAAAAGAAGTAATTGGTTATTTTATTTATTTAATCAAGAGTTATATTGATAATGTAACTGCTGGAATGGTTGGTCTTGATTATCAGTGTATTCCATCATCACAGTCAGAACAAATATACTTTCAAGGAAGGAAGTTTGACATCCTGACCTGGTCTGGCATCACCCGAGCCTCCCAGTTGTGTGGTTGCCTGCCTTCTAAAACGGCCTAGCAAACCATTCAGTTCAAGGGTAATTAGAGATGGACAAGCTGACCTTAACACTGATATGCACGCTGGCATTTCCAGAGAGCTTAACTGCAGGAGAAGATTTATCCCATGGGAAGCATACCCTACATGGAAATCCCAAGTAGGCTGGTTAGCATATTTATTTGTCGCTATAAAAACTGAAAATGAGTTGTGGAGAATAATTATTTATGAAAGTGAATATTGGCAGTTATATAAAAAATTTTGAAAGTAATTGTCTTAAAGGAAAAAGATACCTACGGGCGTGATAATGTTTCAAAGGAACTCCAGGTACTGAATAATAATACTTAAGTTTCAGTTGGCTTTTCATTTGCAGGTTTATTAGAAGAAAATTGAAACATTTATGGTGAATAAGTTCCAAATAAAAGCTATTTTTATTTACCTCTGCCTTGCTTGCTTGAAACTTGTTTTCAATTTCATGAAAATCAATTGTAATTTGTTCCAATAAAACAAACATGAAATTGATGACAGAAGAAATTGAAAAAAGGTGCACACTGCCCAGTCTATGTGAAAATCTACTCAGATTGTAAACGCCAGTGGTGTCTTTAACAACAGTCGAAGGCTACAGTATCTACTGTAGCTTGGGAATAAAAAGAGTAAGAGGGAATTTGTTAATTCCAATTTTTCAAGGCAATTTAATGGGGCTGCTCCCCAGCGTATTTCAGTGTAGTATTTAAACATTACTTCTGCCCAAATACTCCTGATGTGCTGGGATTGTGCTGAGTTCAGGGGAGAGGTTTCTTCTACGTAAGCAACACATAAATAGCTTCCGCAACTGACGCTGGCAAATTTATTTGGTGGCAGGAGAAGATCATCATCTGAAAACATGGATCTTTACAAGCTTAATTGTTTTGCTGCATGTGTGCTGGTAAGTTGCTGTGGAAGGCAGGGACAATACAGGGGGAAAAAAAATTTCCTTGCAGTCCTCCCTCCTCGAGCAATGCTTAAGCATTCCAACCACTTTATGGAGCCAGGATATCATTTAGCTCAGTTCCAGGTCTATTCTGAGTTGGTCAAAGGTTGTTGAATGTAACATGCTGGCTAACCACATAGAGGTTTGTTAGGCATATTGGGTGTGTCTGTCTGAGGTCATGACAATACACTCAAACCACACTGGTGCAGTGGACTCCAGACAATGCAGTATGAGCTCTAAAATGTCTCTGTTAATTTGAAGAGGAAGAAATGTCCAGGGAGAATATTTTTAATCCAAGTACATCCCTCTCAACTTGTGTGAAAAATGTTTGCAACCAAACAATAAGAGCAAAATACTACAGATGCTGGAAATCTAAAACAAACATTCAACAAACAAACAAACAACTTAACATTCTGGAGAAACTCAGTAGATTTAGAAGCACCTGTGGAAAGAGGAAGAGAATTAACGTTTTGAGTACAATATCAGTCATATTGGACCTAAAATGTTATTCTTCTTCCTCGTTAACATTAACTATGATTGTCTGTCTACAGATGCTGCCAGATTTGCTGAGATTTTCCAGAATTCTCTACAACAAAATAATAATCATTTTCTGGACTCAAAGTTGGTTCAGGCTTCACTCTTTCTTCAATTGCTTCAGTAATGTCAGGTGCAAGCAGAGGCTTTTGTGTTCTGGAGGGGCTCTTTCGACAAGAGTGGAACTGCCATGTGGGTAAGAGCTACGGTGAGAATGGCCAACTCCAAACCATCCAGTCTTATAAAACTTTTAACTGTTCAACTATCCATCCCATGGCCCCTGCTGCTGAGTTTCCAGGAACTATATGGCTCTGGGTTGATTCCTTGGATTATTTTGATGCTCACCCCTATTTAAACTGAATGAATGCTTTCAGGAGCTTTGGAAACCAACCCTTTGTAACTGATGTCATTAGCGCAATACTGGACACAAGGAATAGGGTGCTTTTATAGCAGATTTCATGCTTTTGTAACTAGATTATTCTTCAAACATTAGCACAAAAATGCTCTGCCTAAAGTTAAATTCCTCTTTATCTGAACAATTGAAGCTGAAAATCAGTGTCATATAGGCACCATCAATCTTGTGTTGTTTAAGGACTCTTTTTAAACTGCACAAATTGAAAAAAAAACATGTCACAACAAATGAAAGATAACTTGGGTGTCTAGGGATGAAAGAATGAATGTTTTCATTCTGAGCAGTTTTCAAACAATTCAGTGCGCAGTGCCCTACATGTGTATGAAAATAACATTGAATCAAATGAACCTAACCTCTTCAATGTGAATCTATAGCCTTGAAAACTGAATATAAAATGCTTCCACTACAAACAATCCTGAGTGGTCACAGGTACTTCATGGAAAATAAATGCGGAAGAAATAGATTTCACACAATGCCAGGACGACATGGAATGGGGACATTAAAACTGCAACACAGGTTGTTGCTGTCTCTTTTCGCATTATAAAGCAATGGGGATGCACAAGCTCTTCAATACCATTGAATATGGCAGGAATATAACAGCATAATGCACAACAAAGAGAAAGGAACCTTTATTCTTGGTCTGCCAGCAACCACAGAAACAAGAAACATACGATTGACGAAAGTTTTCTTTCTAAAGTTTTCAAGTAATAATACTTCTATATTATAGAATCTGCTGACACTTATGTGCCAGATTACACATTATTAATTGTCACTTGCGCAAAATAATGACTTGTTATAACTATTTGTGGCACAACTCTAATAAGTCAATTAGCAATATGAAAAATAAAAACTTTCAGGAGGACTACATTTCTCCTGAGGATGTGAATTCATGTTATGCTTCCAGTAGCAGCCACCTGCAATTTTTCTAATCTCCACGTATGAGCTCAGAGAATGAATGCTGATGGGTAAAATGATTAGAAGAGAAGCATATCAAGCCTAGAATTGTGTCCATCCACAAAAGTACACCCACAGCAGTGAACTGAGGAGTGGTGACTTGGACTGATTTCCCCCTCTGGGGCACCAAGGCCAAAAATGGAATTTTTCAAGAATTCACTTGAGACTCCTGCAATGTTCAGATTATATACATCAGGGATTAAGCCTTCTGGGCCTAGAAATAATCAATCCTGTAAGATCTCAATGGACTGCCTGGCAGACCAATTAAATTGGTGTTTTCTCTTCATTGCACCAACATAGATTAGACAGAGGGAATACTGAAGTCAGGTAGAGACTGAAAGGCAGGTCGATACGACATACTGTTACTTCAGTGGTGTGTGGGTACATGCCTGAACGAAGGTAGAACACTGTCATAGTAATACCAGGTGGCCGTCAGGTATGGCCGACTCACATCTGTAGAGTAGAGACGCCAAGCAGCCTGGATAAACAAAACAGAGAAAGACACACACCAACAGATCAAACTATCAAACAGGACAGGACAAGAGAAAGCAAAATAAAAAGTGGCACATAAAACAGCATGCAAGATAATGGGAATTTTATGTGGAGAGAAATTGCATTGATTAATTAGGCATTGCACCTTTATGTGTATAAGAAAACAGTATGTACAATTATTAGTGCATGTGAAATAATACATAATAATCTGTAGCACTCTGTTGAAATCCGCAAATTAATTACAAAGTTGTGATTAAAAGGATTCAGATTCTTGGCAGTAGTGCAGTGAATCATGAATACTCACCCTGAATGGGTTTCAAGGGCATTTGTTTTTAAAGCATCTAAACATTTTCTTCTCATCAAGAAAAAATGCTCTTAGAATGTCATCACCTTCTGCTCCCTCACCAATTGCCTGAGCTTCACTTCTGAATATATTATGTGTTTATAGACAGTTCTATCATGGGGAGTTTCATAGCATTCAGCATCAATGTCCATCACTAATTTCTAAGATCCTCACTATCTAGTCCTGTATGTGCAGCACTGCGTCAGCCACACAGAACAATTCCCATGAGGTACTGACATGAAGGAGACTGGATGCGAGTAATATTGACCCTAATATTTACACTCCTTGCTCAGGTCCACCAACCCACACTTTACAAACACCCTTCCACACTTCACATTTCAGATTTGTGGAGAGTAAGTTAGACTGGAAGTTAGGCTGGGTCAGCTGAGAAAAGCCTAAGGGACTGCTAGTTGCCAAGGTGGGCCAGGCAGAAAATCTGCCTCAGGGTTCCAGCACTGTGTACAAAAGTTAAAATAGAACAATGAACCATATATCAGTAACTTTCCCAGGCTCTTTCAACAACATCTTCCAAACCACTACATCTAGAAAAACAAGGGCAGTAGATACATGGGAACACCACCACCTGAAATTTCCCCTCCAGACCGCACATCATCCTTGGAAATATATCACCTTTGCTTCACTGTCACTGGGTCAAATCTTAGAACTCCCTTCTTAACACACTGTAGCTGTCTCTTCAGCACAATGACTGTATCAGCTCAAGGAAACAACTCACCACCAACAGCTTCAGGGACGGGTAGTAAATCCTAGACAGCAGCCTGTGGTACACTAAAACAACATTCCTCTACCCCTTCCAACCCTCTCAACTCCCTCAGTGCCCCAATACTCATCTGTACCACTGTATACTCTCTGCACATCCCACATGGCTCCTTGAACAACCAATAGTATCCTATACGCCTCCAAAAATTCCCCATTGCCTCTCATATCCTTTATCAACTTACAGTTTCTACTATTTCTTACTTTGTATCTTCAAGTAACCATGTATACATCAAAAAAAGTTCCTTTAGTTAAAGTTTGATGTCACAAACTATATTTTCTTGTTAGCTTTGGCCATCCTTTGACGGTTTAACAGTTACAAAGGGTTTATTCACTTTTTCAGAACAATCTTCTCTATTGTCAACAATCCCAAAGGATACCTGACACCCCTAAGGATACCAAAAATCCCCAAAAAGGGTGCAAGACCCCACCTCAAAAAGATGCTCTCGACAAGAACCTAATGTCTGTGAATGGTATTCAAATTAACCCACAAGGTTCAAATCAGCTCTCAGCAAGTATACTGCGTATGCACAGATCTCCAGGCTAAAGGAATATTAAAATCTCACTTCAGAAGATTTCATTGCCCAGCTAACTCTGTAAAACAGGGTGGCACAAACCCAGCCTGACTCCCCCTTCCTCACAAAGATGCGAATGCCTTGTTCTGGGGTGAAACTTGTGACTTCAGGGCATTTCTGTTATTTTCATCACAATCGAGAGCCTCCCTGTAATGGTCAAAGTTGAGGTCATGAATAAAGAAATACCCTGCATTTGTTCAGACTCTTATCATCTGTCAGGCTCTCAGCTCTGTAAAATTTAACTAAATGGATATCTGAGGATACATCTTGAGTAAATACTAGTAATACAAGTACTTGTGTTTATCAGGATTTGCTTTCCTCCAGAACACGAACAGGTCTAGACTGACTAAGTCCTGAGAGAATGCTGCTTTGTCAGAGTTTTGTGCTTCATAAAAACTGAAAGAATTGTGGATGCTTTAAATCAGGAACAAAAACAGAAGTTGCTGGAAAAGTTCAGCAGGTCTGGCAGCATTTGTGAAGAAAAAATCAGAATTAACATTTCAGGTCCGGTGACACTTCCTCAGAACAGAACGAAGTGTTAACTCTGATTTTTTCTTCGCAGAAACTGCCAGGCCTGCTGAGTTTTTTGGGCAACTTTTTGTGCTTCAGTTAGATGTTAAATCAATGCCCTTGTTCTTAGAATGTTGCATGTTAGAGATTTCATGGAATTGACTGATGAAAAGCACAGAATTCTCCCTATGTCATGACCAATGTTTCTCTCTCAATCAATTTTTCTTTGTATCCTTTTATGCTTTTATACCACTCTGTAATTTCAATTACATTTTAAACTATTTCACACCAAGGTTGTTTAATTAAATAAGTAGGGTTTTCAGCCTTTAGGGCTTTGTACAGTTCTTGCGTTGTAGCAGAATTAGTATTTCAAGTCCAATATGATGATTCTTCATAGTTCCAAAGGACAGTCGTTTTGAAATGTTAAAGCAAAATCTGTAGTAGTCACAATTTTACAGAATACAACAAAGTTGTTTTCATTAAAGCATAGAAGTCTGAACATTGTAGACAGAACTGATATTGTGGCACCTTTACTCTTACTACAAGGGTCAATAACAATTTTAAGGTGAGGAACAACAGGTTTAGAGGGGATATGAGGAAAAATGTTTTCACCCAGATGATTGTAGGTATCTGCAACTTACTCGCTAAAAGAGTGGTTAAGCTGGGGACTCTGAAGACATTGAAAAACTGTTCAGATGCACACTTGAAACATCATAGCATAAAGGATATGGGCCACGTACTGGAAAACAGGATTATAGTGGATGGCTGCTTGATGATTGGTGCAGACACAATGGGACACAGACCCTCTATACTTGCTGAAAAATCTCTGTGGCTCTATGAGTCTAATAAACCCGTATGTCAAAAAACAACTCTTCAGCATCAACATGAATTGGCTCCCTGCATTACACCCAACAGCTGTGCACCGACACGCACATAACTGCTGATCTGATTTCAAAATTGCCTTATTGCACTCTCCAGGTCCCAAATGATGAATGAGCTCCTGAAGGACTTCAACAGAGCTGAGCAGGCCGCTGGCTCCCCCACTCACCTGGGCTTTGAAAATTAAACATCTCAGAAGTGTCTGGGCACTGACACACCAGCATTTTTACAAAACTTACACCAGTCTCATCTCTGGCAGCAACTGAAAATTAACCCTTTGATTAAAAGTCAAGGAAACTTTGAGCCAAATATGATTTAAATCCAACTATTTAAGATACAAATCATGTGAGGCTGACTTAAGCATTCATAGAGGAAATAAATACACTGCTGATGATAGGGAATGTACATTTTTGTTTTGTGATTATATACAAAGGAAGTGAAGTTCCAATGGATTCTCAGTGTAAGCTGAAATGATGCTCTGAACTAGACAGGCTTTTTGACTTTTGACCATCTCACATTCAAAATCATGAGCAAAGTGTCACTGCAGAGATTTATTGCAGGATCTCTGGTTTGTTGTTACATGAAGAGCATTTGTGCAAATAATCAGCACAAGTTCACCAAAGGGCACTTAAGCTATCATTTCAAGCAATGCTCTGACCAAATACTGAGATCTTTTTTACATTGAAAGTCATTTCTCTATGCAAAGAAGGTCAATAACAAAGTAATTATTAAGAGTAGTGAATAGCAACAGTCATTATTCAACAATACAACAGGAGTATTAACAAGGGTCCATTTATTACTCTGTACAGACTGAATGGCGAGGATCTAATCACTATTTCCTTTGATGACAGTGAATGCTAGGTTGATGGTTGCTGTTCTATATATTGGGAGTGAATGTTAAAAGTCTGATCATTATTCTAAATAATGAGTGAATAGTATTCCAAACAATAGGAGCAAATGACAGGGTTTCAGTAATTATTCTGTGCAATAGGAACAAATACAATTTCATATAAATGATCATCTCAGTGTATGGTCAGTGTATGGAGCAAAATTGATCTCTTTTATTGAAACTGCTGCGTTCATATCCTTGGCACAATGTAATTGATTGTTCAATCCTATTACTTAATCATAGGTTTGGATACTGTCTAAAATACAAATGCACTTTTTGAGTCTTTTGCAGCTTCTACCAATTCCGTTGCCAGTGGTGCCCTGAGTAGGGTGACTGGTTGACATGATGGCATTAAGGTGATCCTCATGCAGATCTTAGAATCAGTCAATGAGAATTCTGTGATTTTCTTGTGAGTGAATCCTGACTAAGCATTGAAGAAAATTTGCCCAGGCAAAGGTAAAGAATTCAAGATTGGCAGGAGAGCTTGTGAGCAAAAAGGTGGGAAAACCCATTGGGTCCTATAAAGCTTACCACATCACACAATGTACACCTGCTGACTCACCTCCTAACCTTGAATTGTTTGGAAACAAAAGAAATTTGAGAAAAAAAAACTGGTCAATTCAGAAAAACTCTCGAATTTTCCTTCCATTTCCTGAGATGTCAGGCTAAGTTCCATGAAATTATGACAGCCCATTATTACTGACATCATACTTTAACAGTAACTTACCCACTATGACAGCATACATTTCTTGGAACACGGAAGGAGTGAACCAATATTCGCTAAATGTTTAGGGAGCCTATTTCAGAGAGTCAACAAGTTTAGCCAGTCTCATAATCTTGCCTTAACATTGCTGACCAAATCATCCGTCTTTAATTTCCTTTCCTTTACTCTGTACTCCAATGAGATTGTCCTTGCTTGACTCCACTCTTGCCAATATGACTGTAGCTACAACATTTCCAACAATTGCTTCTACTTCAGTAGAGGCACCATTTTTTCTGAAATCTTCCAGAAACTG